AACCAAACCAATAACTTGTCTCATTAAGCGCCTTTTAAATGATTAAAACATTTCAAGCTAGTGATTATCTAAAAGACTGTCAATTTCTGTAAATAAATGACAATGAACGGGGGAAGAAAACACCACTGCACAATTAAATTGCCCAAACCAAGAAAACTCCATTCTCTTAAAACCCGAGTTCCACAACAACCCGAACTTAACTTAACATAAAAAAGTGGTTAGAATTTTAAAATGTCAGATTAACGCCTAGAAGACAATCAGCAGCGAAATAGAACATTTCGAAATAGAAAGAGAACAATATCGACCTACTTTTGAGCTCTGTTTGTCCTTGGTGTCTCCTTGTCCCCTATAGTAAGAAAACAAAACACTGATTCACGTCGGTGTTCCATTCTTCCTATTAAAGCATTTCATTTATATTATAAACTGATTTGCAGCGGTATTTCCAAAATGTAACGTTTATTTCTGGCACTTTTATAACTTTTTAACATTTAATTTCTTGTAAATTTTGTATTTTTCTTCGATTAATAGTAAATGCAAATGAAACCAAACATGATGGCAGAGAGAGATGTTGGTCAAACGATTCAGATTGGCGCCACCATGTGTTTGGTAGAGAAACTTTCACCAAAATAGAGCTTGGCCGAGATAAGTAAATTTAATTCTTTATTCTTAGTACCTAATCAATCTGTCTGTCAGAAAATAGAACACAAAATTATAATTTTTCTAGGTCAATATCTTATGGCATGAGCGTTTTCTTTTTTTTTTTCGTTTTGTTTGTTTCCATGTTCTTGCCGTTTAGACGTTTGAAACAGGATATAAGCTTAAAATATATACAGGGGAAACGAATTCCTAACAATGTTGATCTTCTGGAGGTAGGAGGTCATAGTGTTGCGCGAAGTGAGCATGTTAAATTCTTCGGTGTTATAATAGATGAGTACTCATCTTGGAAACCCCATTTGGATGCTATATGCACACAAGATTTCGCGAAGTGTTGGTGTCATATGTAGGTTAAGGTTGATCATACCTAAGAATGTTTTATTAATTGTATATAACAGTATTGTTCTCCCTTACCCGTATTGCAATGTTGCATGGGATAACACTTTTGAGACTTATATTGATAAACTTAAAATATTGCAAAAGAAAGTCATTCGGCTTGTTACCAACTCTCACTTCAGACAGCCTAGTAAGCCATTATTCCTTGAAATGAAATTGCTGCCTGTTGATGAGCTTGTGTCATTCAGTAGTATGATGTTTGTGTTTAAACTTAAAGGGACTTGGTAACATTTTTTCAGATGAGAGATAGTGGTGCTAAGGAAGTGACTTCAATGCTAGATGTACAATTAAAGATAATCTGGAAATTTGAGTGAAAACGGACCATTATTCATGGTACAAATTGTTAAAAACTGATCTGATCGATTCCTTAATACTCCCAACTATATTACATTTTAGGTGAATGGAAAACGTCACAAAGCAATAACAAGGCTCTACATTCCATTCCAGACAATTAAGGGTTGACAGATTTTGTATAGCCTGCCTTTTTTTCATGGAAAAACGGTTGGGAGAATTTACTGCTAATCACTGTTAGAGGGTGTCAAACATTGACTCCTTCAATACAAAAAAACACAGATATCTTCGTGGTTTGAGAATTTGTTCAGGATTTTTTGCATGTCAGAGGGTTAGTACAGTAAAAGCAATATAGCAAGTAACATTTTATACAGAAATTGAGCAATTTTTTCATCAACCTTCAACAATGTTACCAAGTCACTTTAAGTTTTATCCTCAGGCTTGCCTGTCAAAAGACCTATTTCCCTGTAACTCCCAGATACAAAGCTACAATACAGGTCAAAGTAACCTTGTGCGTCAACCTCATGTAAGGACAAATGTTGCACCGAATTCTTTTCGAATCACATGTACTAACTAGTGGAACTAGTTACCCGCAGACTAGATTAAGACTTTTATGTAAATCATGCATTGCTGCTATTACGTATTATAGCAAGGATTAGCCAGTCAGCTTCTGTGTGTGTGTGTGTGTGTGCGTGTGTGTGTGTGGGTGTGTGTGTTAAGGGAGTTCATGATGTCAGTGATTCAGCTTTTTTTCTTCTAAATATGTTTTTAAAGTTGCATAAAGTTTACATAACCTTGCCATTTCCTTGTAATCAGTTTTGTACGTTATCATGGTTTTTTGTGTAAATGAACTTGATCTCGGTTGGCGGACTCTGGGACCTGCTTGTTTTCGGGGCTATACGCGCGTGAGACTTTATCGTATCCATGATCGTATCCTACCATCTTTCATGTTTTTGAACTGCGCTGATCCTTGAAACACGTTGGTCTCTTTGCCAATCAACCGGGATTGAGAGTTTCATCCTTCCCAGGGGCCACACTCACAAGCATTGCTTTTTTGGGTCTCAATTTGGATCTTGTTTGTTCGTCATGATTGCTATGTCTGGTGTTTTTAATAATCTGAACTAAACTGAACTGAACTGAACTCAAGGTTGTTTTTGTTCTGTTTCTTCCGTCTGTTTCTTTTTTTCTTCGTTATAAAGCTGAAAGCTAAACCAAGGACGTACAAATATATGATTTCAGGCAATTAACACTTACCTGACAGAGTCATCAGGAACATAATCTCTTTCTCTGCGCTTTGTTCCAAAATAAACTTGACAAAGATTTGGGATTTACGAGAGCCTGAAGTGTCAACGCCGAACCGTACATTGACCTCAACTGATTTATGAAACAGAGTTTCATGTTGTGTCTGTTAAAAAAGTCATAGAATTACAATTTTAGATACACATCAAATGTACCCATCATGTCAATTAACTAGATTGTATGTCCTAACGATTTGCCTAATATAAGATTATCTTTTCCTCTGCAAGGCTACAGTTTAATGGTACTACGTGTGTCTCCATTAGACCCCGTAGGAATCATCCTATATAACATAACGTGTTTCTGATCTCCTGTTAAAGTGGTTGAGTAATCAAACACACACCCACGTCTGCTCGCAACAAAACACGCACACACACTATCGTCGAGCGATGGTAAATAAACATTATTCGTATTATTATTATTTATGCTTCTATTGATACGCGGTATCACATTAATACACCTTAGGTAAGAAATGTTGCATATATTCATTCATATTCAGGTAATATAATCGAGTAACTTTAATTGTAATATAAACTTTTCATTCAACTGTTTACCTACTTATGTTCTCTCTCTAGTATACCTCCGTCACAGTATTGAGAGAGGTAGCTGTGGCACGCGCGCACGTTCGCGATCAAATATTAATTTATGGAGTTTCAAATAAGTTCCCTTCTAGATAGAGATTTTATTTGGCAGGGATTTATTTTGAGCTCCATGATTTAACATTTGATCGCGAAAGTGCCCGCGTGTCACAACTACCTCTCTCTCAGTACGCTATGCACCGATCATACAGACCATTTTGTGTTTGAATTTGTGGAAGGGGGTTATTAGGATAAAATTTATTCATTCCAAATAATTAAGTTGTATAATTGTGTACTCTATATGTAATGTAATTCGTAATAATTAGTATGATGTACATGCATTGAATGAATTCAATGAAAAATAAATACTTAAACAAATAAAAATTAAAGACATCACACCAACCAAACAAAAACATTGCTCTGAATAGCAAAAAAAAAACGATCAGTGAATTTTGAATCGGTTTGTCGTTGTGACTAAAGCATTTATATGACCTTGCCTTGGTGTATATTTCCTTGTCGTCTACCTGACAGGTTACTTTAAGATCTCCAGAACGCCATGCCACAAAATACTCTTCTCCCTTTATCGGTGTCACGTATCCTGGTTCCGGCTGATTTTTGTTATGATATAAAAAGAATATACATGTACAATGAAAAGAAAGTAGCCCAAAAATGTGTAATGCTATAAACTTATACAAAATATACAGTTAACACTTTAAACAAGCAAGAAAACCACATGGCAATAAATTGAAAACAAAAATTAAAACAACAACATTAAGAACGGAACAATGCATAACGTTTAAACACTTTGTCATTTCTCATTTTAAGTTTTACCTTATGATTTGTTTTTGAGGCCGTCATCCTAGTCAAGCATCGCTTATGATTGCGATCTCCTGCACTTTTTCAACAGATAGTTGAATATATTAAATTTCGTTACTATGTGAACATATGTACAAACAAAAAACGTTTTGACATGAAATTTGTGTTGTTTGTGAATTTTGTATTATACGTGTACATGTTCTTTATTATTCAGTTATTATATTGGAAAAGAGCAGAAATAAAATAAAATAAAATAAAGTAAACAAGAAGACAGAGGAAGCAAACGACTGGATAGCCCATTTCCAGCTGCACTTGCGTACTGCAGCTTTTCTTCCATGGGGACCAGAAATTAAAAACAAGAAGATTGTGGGGGGGGGGGGGCAACAAAACAAAACAACAAGAACAATGGTTTGAAGAAAAAATAACTTAATTAAGGTCTTACGGTATCAATTAATTTAGTTGTGAAAGAGGGTTCTACGACACGTACCCCTGGACATCCACCCCCGGATAACCAAACAACAAGTAATTTATGCCATTTATATTCTGACTATAGAACTTAATTATTCCTAACAGTTGAATTAAATCATTTGTAACATGGCACTTAAATTTTACGCATAACACTTCATTACAATATGAAACTGGTCTGTTTGCCCTGCTCCAGCCCACGTTGCTTGTCATTTTGCGATGAACCTCATACGCAGGCTCTTTTGTTCTGAACCAGTAACCTGGACGAAAAGCGAATATGACATAAGTACTTTAGTAGTCTTTAAACAAACTGGCCGGAATTCACAAAGGAGGTTTGTCAACAAACCTAGGTTTATGTGCGTCATATGAAGCGTTTCGACGCGTTTTTACTGACCAAGGTTTGTAAAAACGCGTCGAAACGCGTCATATGACGCAAATAAACCTAGGTTTGTCGACAACCTCCTTTGTGAATTCCTGCCATTGTGTTACAATACCCCTTCCCGTTCATACCTCCGCTTTCCCTTGGTTACTGTCTCTAATGCAGAGCCTCAACAGATGCTTAGTGTCCATAGGGCTTGGTTCGGGTACGAAAGGCGTACAGATGACACGCTTGCCCACGAATACCTTTGTGATGAAGGCAACAATCCACCATTCAGAGAAGTGAGAGATATAGAGGTCAAGGTCTCGCTCTCTAACATCACATCGAGGGTCACCATTGGAAGCAGCAATCAACGAAAAACTGTCGGCGCCTTTAAATTGAAAACAAAAGACATATGCGTAATCACAATTTGTTCTTGTTTGCAAAATCGAAAACAAAGCAAAGTAAATACAAACACTAATTTCAGAGAACGTAAAAGCGACGGGGAGGGTGAGTACCCCAGCTTTTTATCACAGATTCTACGATAGATCACTCTAGAAACATATATTCAGGATACGAGTCAATTTTCCACATACTTCTGAAATTAAAAAACTTGGTAAGGTATGAATAATTTAGTTGTTAACTGTAAAGATTCTTACTGCTTTTTCGATGGTAAGTCCCAATAGATGCAGTATCAGGACTTGTGAAAATTGCTGAATGGGGCATCGTCACTTTTACTGGATATTCAAACTTCGCAAAAGACGATGACGCCTTAAGACCAACGCAAATGATTGCTTGGTCCTCCGTTAACAAGTCTGCCAGTTCAGCTGGAACTTCAGGTACTACCTGGATGTCATCAACGCGCCAAATCTCACTTGGATGAAACTGGACTTCAATGCCATACTTCTCGATGCGAATCAAGCCTGATTGCTGATTGGATTCCCCCATGGAATCATAAACTTCTACGAATTGTTTAGAAGATGCAGAGTCTATGTTGAGCTGTTCGGATTTTGAGGTCTCTACGTTTCCTTCGCTATCCACCTGTTTTTCGACACTCCCGCTTTCCTTTTCTGAACCAACGACTGGATCTACAAAGAAACAACCAAATGAGGTGTTATATAGCTCAGAATATACAGCAGAAACGGTCGTTTATTCCTATCTCATCAGTTCACTCAATGTAAACGATTGCGAACGTGCACAGGGGCGGCGGCAGGGGGTCTTTTAAAGTGGGAGGGGTCAACACAAAAGGGGCACTTTCTGGAAAACAGGGGCACCTACAAAGGGAACTCTCACAGCGACAATATATATAATTTTTAGAAATTGGTATATACCCCTACATTGTGAACACATTATCAGGGATGATTCCAATATTGGTTTCTTTTTCTACACGATCGAAGATACTGCTTAATGGTGGGTTCCTACTGCCGATCAAACCAACCCGCCCAAGCCCAATCAAGCCCGATCACCCATTTTCCCCCGACAAATCCCGACCACATGCCTAAACACAAGCTCTTCCCGACCGCTATTCGACCATTCACAACCCACATTCGACCATTCACGACTCCTGAGTTTTGATTATACATGACTTGGGAACGTCTGGCGAGCTCAAGGAGAAGGATATAGCGCTGCCTGGATAATGAATACTGTGAAAATCAGGCTTTCTGACATGTCTATTCAGGAATGGAGCGCAACCACCTGGTCAAATAATATTTGCACGAACTAAAGGATATTTAAGAATAAGTTTATAAAATGTACCTGCAGATATTATGTCAGAACGAAGCAATAACTTTAAGTAAATTTAGATGTAGAACACATAGATTACCTGTTAATAAACGCAGATTTGATGCAAATGTAGTAGTACATGATTTGCAATGCCCACTTTATACATCAACCGATATTGGTGATGAATTTCATTATATTTGTTTATGTCCATTCTTTCAAAATGAGAGAAAAATGTATATATTAAATAACCTGTGTAGTAGTAGCTCTAGACCAAGTGTGTTGCAAATGGATTAGGTTTTTAATACAGTTCATGCTTGCCAGCTTTAAAAAAATAAGCAAAATTTGTAAGGATAATTATGTCACATTTTTTCAAAAGAGCCAAGTGTAGATGGTAATACTGTAAATGATAGCTCACAAGTAAGCAATGTTGTGAGGCAAACTTGTAGCGGTAGGAGGGTGAACTGCCCAGTTCGCCTTGATTTGTAAATAATATATTGATTTGTTCATATTATCACAATCATTATTCATAGTATCACATGTTTGTTATTGTTCATATTATCACATGTTAGTCTTTGTTCATATTATCATATGTTTATCATTGTTCATATTATCACATGTTTATCATTGTTATACTATTGCTATATTGATACTATGTTGAAAAAATACTCTCATACCCCGAGAGGGGGTCGATAGAGTCAATAAAAATACAATCAATCTTGCCAACTGAACTTACCTTTATCAATTAACTGCGCGTGGAGAGGTGTGTGCCTCCTACCAATATCAGCCCTATTTAGATTTGCTTCTCGGTCGGTGAGAAACTGTACCACGTCCTGGTGACCATTGAATGATGCCGCTTGGAGAGGTGTCCTGCCATCATTACCAGCCGTATTTAGATCTGCTCCTTGGCCAATGAGAAACTGTACAACGTCGAGGTGACCATTGAATGATGCCGCATGGAGAGGTGTGCGCCCATCAAAACCAGCCCTATTCAGATCTGCTCCTTGGCCAATGAGACCCTGTGCAACCTCAAGATGACCTTTGAGTGATGCCACTTCCAGAGGTGTGCTGCCATCTTTACCAGCCCTATTTAGATCTGCTCCTTGGCCAATGAGAAACTGTACAACATCCAGGTGACCATTGAATGATGCCGCTTGGAGAGGTGTGTGACCACCAATACCAGCCATATTTAGATCTGCTTTTTGGCCAATGAGAAACTTAACAATATCGAGATGACCTTTGAGTGATGCCACTTCTAGAGGTGTGCTACCATCTCGACCAACCCTATTTAGATCTGCTCCTTGGCCAATAAGAAATTGTACAACATTGAGGTGACCCTTGAATGATGCCGCTTGGAGAGGTGTGCGCCCACCAATACCAGCCCTATTTAGATTCGCTCCTTGGCCAATGAGAAATTGTACAACATCGAGATGACCTTTGAGTGATGCCGCTTCTAGAGGTGTGCTTCCATCGTTACCAGCCCTATTTAGATCTGCTTTTTGGCCAATGAGAAACTGTACAACATCGACGTGACCTTTGATTGATGCGACTTCTAGAGGTGTGCTGCCATCTCGACCAACCTTATTCAGAACTGCTCCTTGGCCAATAAGAAACTGTACAACACCAAGGTGACCATTGAATGATGCTGCTTGGAGAGGCGTGCGCCCACCAATACCAATCCTATTTAGATCTGTTTTTTTTTCAATGAGAAACTGTACAACATCGAGGTGACCTTTGAGTGATGCTGCTTCTAGAAGTGTGCTGCCATCATTACCAGTCCTATTTAGATCTGCTTTTATGCCAATGAGAAACTGTACAACATCAAGGTGACCATTGAATGATGCCGCGAAGAGAGGTGTGCTGCCATCTCGACTAAGTCTATTTAGATCTGCTCCTTTGCCAATGAGAAACTGTACAACGTCGCGATGACCATTGGATGATGCCGCATGTAGAGGTGTCCTGCCATCTTTATCCTCCCATTTTAAATCTGCTCCTTGGTCAGTTAGAAACTGTACAACACCAAGGTGACCATTTAGTGATGCCGCGAAGAGAGGTGTCCTGCCATCTTTATCCGCCCTTTTTAAATCTGCTCCTTGGCCAATGAGAAACTTTACAACATCGAGGTGACTATTGAGTGATGCCACTTTGAGAGGTGTGCTGCCATCTCGACTAAGTCTATTTAGATCTGCTCCTTTGCCAATGAGAAACTGTACAACGTCGCGATGACCATTGGATGATGCCGCATGTAGAGGTGTCCTGGCATCATTATCCGCCGTATTTAGATCTGCTCCTTGGTCAGTGAGAAACTGTACAACATCCAGGTGACCATTGAATGATGCTGTATTGAGAGGGGTCCTGCCATGTATATTCCCCTTGTTTGGATCTGCTCCTTGGCCAATAAGAAACTTTACAACATCAAGGTGACCATTGAATGAAGCCCTGTGGAGAGGTGTGCTGCCGTCTTTATCCGCCTTTTTTAGATCTGCTCCTTGGCCAGTGAGAAACTGTACAACATCGAGGTGACCATCGAATGATGCTGTATTGAGAGGGGTCCTGCCATGTATATTCCCCTTGTTTGGATCTGCTCCTTGGCCAATAAGAAACTTTACAACATCAAGGTGACCATTTAGTGATGCCGCGAAGAGAGGTGTCCTGCCATCTTTATCCGCCCTTTTTAAATCTGCTCCTTGGCCAATGAGAAATTGTACAACATCCAGGTGACTATTGAGTGATGCCACTTTGAGAGGTGTACTGCCATCTCGACTAAGTCTATTTAGATCTGCTCCTTTGCCAATGAGAAACTGTACAACGTCGCGATGACCATTGGATGATGCCGCATGTAGAGGTGTCCTGGCATCATTATCCGCCGTATTTAGATCTGCTCCTTGGTCAGTGAGAAACTGTACAACATCCAGGTGACCATTGAATGAAGCCTCGTGGAGAGGTGTGCTGCCGTCTTTATCCGCCTTTTTTAGATCTGCTCCTTGGCCAGTGAGAAACTGTACAACATCGAGGTGACCATCGAATGATGCTGCTACTAGAGGTGTACTGCCATCATTACTACCCCTATTTAGATCTGCTCCTTGGTCAAAGAGAAACTTTACAACATCGAGGTGACCTTTGAACGATGCTAGACAGAGAGGTGTCCATCCTTCCTCATCTTCCCTATTTATATCTGCTCCTTTGCCAATGAGAAACTGTACAACATCGAAGTGACCATTGAATGATGCCACTTCTAGAGGTGTGCTGCCACCTCGACCAACTCTATTTAGATCTGCTCCTTGGCCAATGAGAAACTGTACAACATCGAGGTGACCTTTGAATGATGCCGCGTAGAGGGGTGTGTTGCCCTTATTATCAGCCCTATTTAGATCTGCTCCTTGGCCAATGAGAAACTGTACAACATCGAGGTGACCTTTGAGTGATGCCACATGAAGAGGTGTCACGCCGTCATTACTAGCACTTTTTATATCTGCTCCTTGGCCAATGAGAACCTGTACAACGTCGAGTCGACCATTGGATGCTGCTGCTTGGAGAGGTGTCAAATCATCTTGTTTAGCCCCAGAAAGGTCTTCTCTTTGAAACTTGTCCCTATCCATGATAAGAATTTAACTGATCTGAGTGCCTGTAATTTCTAGATTATTATAGCAAAAGTATGTGCTATTTGATCAACTAGAACTGTATTACAGCTGAAGACATGAAGTTAATGAGAATCTGTGTCATTATGTCTATTTCATTGTCGCCCCTAACGACTCCAAGCTATGGGACGAAGATAGATGGGTAGGCTATACCGTGCCAGTTATTATCTGCTCCAAGTAAAACGGCTGGCAATGGTTTAACGTGCCTGCAAACGTCATTTAAACCGCGTGATTTGTCTTGCCCACAAAGGAGATCAGTTTTTCTCATTATATATTATATTTAATGTTCATTTCAGCTGCATAGGTACGTTCCATTTCCGAATAAGCATGATGGTCTTCCATTCTCCCATTAATATCACATATCCAACACCTCCTCAACGTAGTGAAATTTAGAATGTGTATAGGCGGCCTAGGCCTACAGATATGGCAATGCTGTTATTCCGAAATACAAAAAAAAAAAACAGCGCGATCACATAGGAAACTAGTATGATATGACGTTTAGTACAGGCTACAATTAATACACGCAGCTCTATTCAATTTTTGCTACAATATGACTATAACGCACTCAACCGTTATCCGGGTGTGAATTATGCTAGCTGCTTCCTCAAAACTGTATATTGTAGAAGTTGACATATGACCTGAATTTGGTTTCTGTTTACTTTTTTACTCGGCTCAATGAACAGTTGACAATAGGCCTAACCAATAAAATCGTACTAGCATATTCCAATAACATGACGGAGGAGAATATGTATCGTAAAAAATATGATACCAACGTGCATTTACAGATTTGGAAGAGGGATTTTTTTTAATTTTTTTTTTTGGGGGGGGAGTATTTTGGATTGCAATAATTCATAGGAGTTCAAGTTTGTCCAATATCTATGAAACAGCAATTTTCATCCATTTTTATGAATCAATCGGATAGAATTAATTTTTGTAAACGAATGAGTCTGGATAATGTTATTAAGTAATGATGTATACACTGCATATAGTCGGATTAAAGAGCAGCAATGGCGAATAATTGTTTCTAATATACAGCAAATTTGTGTTGCTAAGATTGCTTTTCCCTTAAATTATCATGAGACATAAAGCTAGAGACTGCAAACCTGGGAAACAGTATTACTTTAGCAAATATTTACTTCATCATCCTCGTTCCAGTTTCCTTTTTACTTTGAAGGCCTACTGTATGGAGAAGAAAATGAATAACGCTCTAAGTCAGTGACTAAGCTCCGGGGGGGGGCATGTTTTTCGTATTTAATCGTATTGCGAGAGAAAGAGAGAGAGAGAGAGAGAGAGAGAGAGGGGAGCGATGGGGTTGTGCGGGATTCAAGTTCAGTTTTCTTTAAAATTATTCAACCTAGCTATATCTTCCATTTGTTTGCCATGTGATAGTTCCACAGTGATGTTTATTGTTGTAAATAATGTAATTGGCTTGCACTCAGTGCGTGCTTGATGTTGCCATTAGGGACTTTTCGATTTGCACGTCGACATAGTGGACTGCTAGGTGTGACGTCCTAATAAGGCACTGTCGGTGCCTTAAAAGGACGTCATACGTTACAGTCCAGTATGTCGACGTGCAAATCGAAAAGTCCCTAATTGAAAACAAGTCAAAACAAAACCTTTTAACCAGAGGGACCTACTGGGTGTAAGCTAAAAGTTACTGTACAACAATTGAAACTTCTCCTAGAAAGCCTATACAAATAAAAAAGGAGTTTATTCAAAAAGCAATGTACAGACGATGAAAAAATATGAATAGTACATCGTTGTTATCGTGTGAATGATCTCTTCTTTATCTCTCTGCCGAATCCTGCGAACAGTGGAATCAATCTAGCGGAATCAATTGATAAACGAATGTATCATGAGTCATGACAGATTAATTTGCTACTGCATATCATAGTCGTGGCGAATAATTGTTGATAAGATTGCTGGAAATATCCCGGTGTATTTCAGTCGGCATAAAGGTCGGCATAGCTAAGACCACTATCGTTCAGATAGTTACCACAACAGCCTTTACGCCGACCTTGCCATACTTACGCCGACTAGCTCCAAACACGACCTTTACGCCGACCAAATTTACCAGCATTTGAACATAAGTAGTGAGTGGTCAATAGCCGTGTGGAGGAAAAGGGGGGGGGGGTAGTTTTTATGATTGGAATGCGGAGACTGCTATGGATAATTGTGTATCTTTATCTGAGATTTGAAAGCATTTATATTTTCGTTTTTGGGGGTCCACGTTACGGTTAGGACTATGATTTGGTTAATATTTAGGGTTAGGGTTAAGGTTCAGATTAGGGTTAAGATTTCAATGTCCCAAAAATGCCCCTTACAATCTGTAACAAGTGTCACTTTACCTTTAATTGCCTCTGTTTAAATCTGAGAGGTGCCCCTTATATTTTGACAAGTGCCTCTTTTCATTTGTGTGCCCTCTTTTCATTCTTATAAATTCCCCTTTTCATCTCCGACGAGTGCCTTTATTTAAATCTGAGAGGTCACCCATTTCACTCTGCAATAAGAGGCCCTATTCATCTATAAAAAGTGCACCCTTTTATGTTGACACGTGCCCTTTATCCTTTCTAATCAGTGCCATTTTCCTGCTCATAAATGCCCCTTTTCTTTTTTGACAAGAGCCGCTTCCCCTTCTTATAAATGCCCATTCTGACACCTCTGATAGATGCCTCTATCAAAATCTAAAACATGCCCATTTTCCTTCGACAAGTGCTCATTTCCCCTTGTAATAAGTGCACCTTTTCCGTTATCATTAAAGCCTTTCTTCATCTCTGGTGAGTGCCCTTTATCAGGTGCGAGAAGTGCTCCATTCTCATTTCTAATAATTCCCCGTTTTACTGTGACATGTGCTCTTTAACAAAACAAAATTCCATTTGGATATATGCCATCGTTTCCTTTTACCATAAAATGTGCTCCTAAGTTAAAGGCACCGAATTTTAACTTCACCAAAACTTCGCTCGCTACATGATCTCGCATTTAAAGTTGATATAAATGTGTTTCTTATTTAAGATCTGTTCAGTCTTTCATGATTGCAATGTGCTTAAAACCCAATCAGGATTTTCTTTTGCTCTTTATAAAATATTCTTTCGGAATGCGACCTCACTAATCCTAAATTATTCTGATCATCACACCAAACTGCAAAATGTGATGGTTATTAAAGCAGTATCTTGAACCGTGCAAAGAGAACGTTGAAATCATCTTTGATAATGTTATCACATTGTAGGGGCATATACCAATACAAAATTGTCATATTTTCACTTTGAGATTTCTCTTTGTAGGTCCCCCTTTTTTTCCAGAAAGTGCCCTTTACGTTGGTGCCCCCCTCCCCCACCTTGTAAGACTCTCTGGCACCCCTGGGGTAGGCACTAGGATTACCACTGGCATTTAAGTTTAATTGGTCATTGGGGTACTCTGCACTTGTTTAGATATGTATTACTTTTTGCCCAAATTGTCATGATTAATGCCCTTTTCCTCTTCTCAAGGATCCTCGTTGGGTAAGGATTAGGATTAGGAGTACTTGTAGGTTTGGGCAGTGAGGTATGCGATATGTTAAATTGTTCAGAAATTTAATGATTTGTTGTTGTTGTTGTTAAAGGGTCTTAAGGCTGTCCAATTTGAAAACAATTATTTTCGCCTGGCAATACTTTTTTTTTTTTTTTAATGATATTTTATTTTCTCCATTGCTTTTCACAAACAATAACAAAATCAATACATAAAATAATCTGCATGTTAATATTATTATATAGAATATGATTTTACATTCACATCTAAATAATACATATGAACTTTTACTATTTACATCAAATAAAGCATGAAACATGCATGCATGAAGAAGGCATGAACATAAAAAGACATTTAAGAGAAGAACAAACAAAAAATACTTACATACACACATACACACACGTGCACAGACACCCACACAAACACCCACTTAAAACATGCCTACATTTTGTGGGAATCTCGACCATTATATCAGCCATGTCCATTTCATTGCTTCTATTCGCCTTCCTTATTTTATTTATTCTGCTGTTCTTCGAGTTATACTGTTCTTCGAGTTATTCATCAATGATGATTAGATGGCGCTGTTTCCTTTCCTCTTGCTGAAAAATTGATTCAGTCTTTTCAGTGTTTCATTTTTCTTCAACAATGCTACTCCAATGGTTGCCATTGAGTTGAACACAGCTTTATTTCGTTGCTTGCAACCGTTCAATCGATTGTGTGGGCAATAGTTCAGGTGTCTTGCATGAAATCGCCTCATTTAATAATATATTTCTTATTATTTCTTTTTGTAATATTGTGATTAGTAGGGCTGACTGGGTTAAAGAAAATAAAGGTAACCGGGTTTACGGTCCGGGTATAGAGTTTGTCTCTGACGAAGATAACATTTATAAAGTTCAAAATCGTAACTTTAAGAAGCCCCATTGGTGAAATCTATTTTATCCTTAACGTTTCAACATAATTCTTTACCCTGCCTAATATCGAGTGTTTATGTATACAGTGGGAGGTGCTAGGAACCAAGAAAATTATTATGTAATATCAGGAATCTAGTTGTATTATAAGAATATAAAGAGATGGGAACAACACAAATCAGCTTGTTATAACAAATATATTAATATATCAGAGCTCTTTATGTACATGTAAACGTGTATACACTCACTCACACACGCCCGCCTACCCACACACACATTAAGTGTATAGTCATGCGTCAATTGAAGAAAAATAGAAAGGTAAAACATCCAATAATGAAACAACCGTTGGAGATGCAAATATTAAATGACAAATGTATTCAAAACAAGTACATACTTCCAATTTTGTATAACTAACTTTAGAAAGTTTATTTACATTATGGTGACACTATGAAGAGTAGGAAAGTATTTACAGTGATCCAAGGACTCTAACCTACTTATTTACTCTCTGTTTAGCTATTATTCAATTGGCCATTCTTTGTAACACCACGA